AAAGCCATGTCTTTTTTCTAGCTGCACTTATTTATGGGGGGGCACCCACATATAATGATGCATGTGTGGAGATCAGAGGATAACTTGCAGAACCACTTCTCTCTTTCCACCATGTGGGTTCTGGGGATCAAATTCAGGTCATCAGACTTGGTGGCAAGCTTAGTCATTTTACCCCAAACCATGGTCTCTTAAGGACCTTCAATCCACTGACATGTTTGATCCCACTTTTCCACTTGTCAAATTGGAGGTGGCTGCTGAGAGCGGATAGTGTGCAGGGGTAGAACAGCACTCCCTGGCACAGGTACAGAGAATTCTTCTGCCCCCGGTACCACCAAGAGCTTTCCAGGCTACATGTATGCTGGGAATGCTAGAGAACCCTCCCTGCTAATAGCTCTGATAAATTCAGGCAGTTTTATGCTTAGACCCATCCATTCATCATGTAGGCCCAACCCACCTCAATTTGAAGCTGTTTCTGGACCCAAGAACCCTTTCCCACCATCAAGCTCTTTTTTTTCTACCTAGAGCATGTCTGCTTGTCCTTCCCGTCTTCACCTGTAGTCACATCAGTGACTTAACAGTCCCCTCCTATCACCTAAGCTCTTCCAGGGAGGTCATTGGGTCCTTCCCAAGGCACTCACCTCTTTATATTTCAGTTTATTTTTATGTGTAGAATCATGTTCACTAATGAAGAGAAGGAATCAGATAGAAAGGTGGACTCCACAGTCCTCTCTGAATGCACACACACACCCTGCTAGCTATTTCTCGTGAACCTTATTTTTAATCTGATGTCTTGTGGGATCTCCTGAATCAATTAGCAATTATTGAAGAAATGCCCAACAGACATGCCCATAGACCTATCTGAGAAGCCAGTTCCTCAACTAAGGCTCCCTCTTCCCAAGTGTGTCATGTTGACAATCGAAGCTAGCTATGACACAGCCCTTTCCACTTTAATATCTATGCACTCTACATGAGTTACTGTGCTAGCTATTCTTATGTCAACTTGACACAAGCTAGAGTTATCTGAAAGGAGGGAACTTCAATTGAGTAAATGAGATCTATAAGATCCAACTGTAGAGCATTTTCTTAATTAGAGATTGATGGGGAAAGCCCAGTGCATTGTGGGTGGTGCCATCCCTGGGTTTGTGGTCCTGGGTTCTATAGGAAAGCAGGCTGAGCAAGCCATGAGGAGCAAGCCAGTAAGCAGCACCCCTCCATGGCATCTGCATTAGCTCCTGCCTCCAAGTTCTTGCCCTGTTTGAGTTCCTGTCCTGGCTTCCTTCAGTGGTGGACTACAATGTGTAGTGTAAGGCAGATAAACCCTTTCCTCCCCAACTTGAATTTTGGTCATGGTGTTTTTCTGCAGCAATAGAAACACTAAGACAGTCACTTGTCTCTGTGTCTGTAAACTGGAGACTCCACTAGTGCCTGCTTCCTAGGTTGTTATCAGGACTGAGTCTTCACAAAGCAGAGTCTGATGTCACTAAATATGCAGCCTCTTAGCTGTTTCTCTTATTCAGGCCACTTTCTTATTCCTTAAGGCATTATTCACAGTTTTAAATGCATCGCAACCAAAAGAAAACCAAGGCTATCTACACACAGGTAATGTCTCCTCAGGCATGCCGAATGACAATCATTGGAGAGTTGCTGCTTGGGTGCCTCTGGATACTTCATGGCGCCGATGGTGAAAGGTTCAGGCATTATGCTGGCCTGCCCCTGTTACCTGGTGGAACAGGCAGTACCCTGGTCAGCCAAGGTTCCATGGGAACTAAGTCTGCACACAGGTGCAGAGGACCCCTTTAAAAGATAAGTCCCTGCCCCTTTACGCTCTCTGTGCTCTCTGTTCCCTCTCTCTGTTCCCTCGCCCTGTGCTCTCTGTTCCCCCACTCTACTCTGTCTCCCACCTATGCTCTCGCTCTGTCTCTCTATGGCGACCGACCGTGGTGGCCAGCCATTTACCCTGTTCCTCTTCTTAGTCTCCCCATTCTGCCGGGCCTTATAATAAACTTATAGTCTTATGTCTCATGTCTCAGCATTTCTCTTTTCTTCTTTTTAAACAAAAGAATAACAGATGGAAGCTCCTCCCAAGAGTTGTTCCACCCTCTCAACTTGAGTCAAAAGCTCTGGGTCTCCACAAGTCTGTGTCCTCAGAATGGGACAGTGGTAATCCCTGCCTCAGGAGCTCATAGAGTAAAGGAGATGATTTGCACAAGCCACAAGCACTCCAAATGCTTGCTAGCTCTCCACCCTGTTCACAGCATCTATCGTGGTACTTAAGTTGGTTGTTACATATGTTAGTTGTTCTGGAAACCAAGCAGCCAGAGAGGGGAGTTCCACCCTACACCAAGAGTGCCAGTTCATGTCCTTTCACTTCAAATCTGGTCAAGAGAACAATCAGGGCAGGAAAACCAATGTCAACAGTTGAGAGAGCAATTGGCTTCCATGCTGAGGCATGGCTGACCACTGGTCACTGAAGTGGAGGCAGAAGAAAGCTGGAAAGATGGTTGGAAAGAGCCAGAAGTTGCTTGAGTCACTGGGGATATGGTGCGGACTCTGTGTCCTTCCTGGGAGAAGCGGAGGCTGAAGATCCTTCTAGATGAGGACCAAAGCCAGTAGGATTTTAGTACCATGGCTATTGGTCATTATGTCCTGGTCCCCCGGAGTGGCTCGCCAGACTGGAGCTGCTTGCATACAGTGGGGTTACTGTCTGTGGATCTTCATTTAACTCCTACATCTGCACTGTTCCCAGAGTCCATGAGGTAGTGATTTCCACCCACTGAACTGGACATCCCCTGCCTCTATGTGATGTGTGGCTACCTTTGTTGTTGCTTGTGTCTTGTGTTCAGTAGTGCTCGTGAAATGTCAGCCAGTGAGGTTTGCACTCTCCTGCAGCAAGTGAGTCTCAGAGAACTCCGTGGCTCCCTGCCCTCAGTTTCTTTTGTGAAAGTGAACTTGGATCTTAACCTTCTCCTTTATTTCTACTTGGATTCTGGATACTAAAGTAGAAATAATATTCTGTGACCTTTAAGTGGGGCGCCAGCTGCCTCCCCACCCTTCCCCCTGTGATTTAGAACCACACAGCCAGTTCGGTAATACTTTCTGGAATTCTAAACTCCTTCCCAGCCAGCGATGACTAATGGTAAGGCATTGCACCAAAGGTTACTGGGCAGAGCAAATGCTCACTGGAGGCATATTCTCCTACACCCACGTCTGTCCCTGTGGCAGATTTAGTTTAAAAAAAAATGTTTCGAATTTTGCCCTGAATTTTCAGTTCTACCCCAATCAGGGATGAAATAAAGATTTCAGAAATGCTGGGCTCTATTCCATCCAGGTCCTATGATAATGAGGAGGGCATGGCTGTGGGTTGGGCTTGGCACAAACTCACTCTTGGCAGAAGCTGTCCATCATCACCATGTTTTTGCTCAGGCAAAAGCAGATTTCAATGGCACCCTCAGGGGCCGTGGTAGGGACAAGGAAGTGGGAAGAGAACTTTCCCTAAGATTCTCTGAACTTGAAAAAAAAGTCTAATTAAAAAAAAAATTATGTGTGCTGGTGTTTTGTTCGAATCTATGCCTGGTGTCTAAGAACACCAGAAGAGGGTGCTTGGTTCCCTGGGATTGGATTTACAGATGGTTGTGAGCCACCATGTGGGTGCTGGGAGTTAAACCCAGGTCCTTTGGAAGAGCAAAAAGTTCTTTTAACTGCTGAGCCATCTCTCCAGACTCCAATACCCCCTAATTCTTTTTAAGGATTTCCTCTGTGCTGTTACCATCTTACCCAGAATGCTGAGTGAGAACTCAAGTTCTGATGCTGCCCCAGCTCCTGTGTTGATGGATTAGAGGAGATGGGTTGGAGCTGGATTCACCAGGCAGAGCTAAAGAAACTCAAAGCTCCTTCCATCCTTTCCCCATGTCTTGTGACCATCCCACCCTCCACCCAGCAGCCTATTCTGTCATGGCCAAGCCCAGTGGGCCTCAATTGCTACTCCAAAAATGAAGAAACTTTTGACTCTTGTCCAATCCCAGCTCTGTAATGAAAACTGGACAGGGTGGGGTATAGGGACAGGGAGGTTGGGAAGTGGGTGGTTGAACAAGTTTAGGGTGCAACTGTGGGGAAGACTGCAAATACACTGAAGATGATGCTCCATTACGTACACTGTAGATTATGACTGTGGATCCCCTCTGGCTTCTAGAAAACTTATAGTTGACGTTATTTTACTCTCTCTCTCTCTCTTTTGGTTTTTCAAGACAGGATTTCTCTGTGTAACTTTGGAGCCTATCCTGGCACTTGCTCTGGAGACCAGGCTGGCCTCGAACTCACAGAGATCCACCTGCCTCTGCCTCCCGAATGCTGGGATTAAAGGTGTGCACCACCAACTCCCGGCTAACATTATTTTACTCACAAGATGGTGTTTGGGTGCTCTTTGATGGAATGGGCTATATGTAGCTCACACCTGTGTCTGGATCTGGATTTGGGGCTTGTTCATCTCAACAGGGCAATCTAGAAAGCGGGATGCAGAGAGAGAGAGAGAGAGAGAGAGAGAGAGAGAGAGAGAGAGAGAGAGGTGTATCCAACAGGTGAGAGTGGAGGTGGGGTGTGGGCAGCCTTGGTTTATATTTCAGTTGTGTTTGTTGTTGACTTTACACCTTTCCTGGACCTGGAGGGTTCTGGATCTGGGACATCCCTGTTGCCTGGCCAGCTGTGGGTGGATCAATGATTTTATTACATTGTGCATTGTCCCCACTGTTTGTACTTGAAAGTGGGTGGGCAGCACAGGAACTCCCCAATGTCCATTTGTAATCATCTTTTGTTGCTGGAACCTTCTTTTTGGATAAAAAGACAATGCCTCATAATTGAACAATCTGGGCCCCCAGCAATGAAAACACCCCTCTCTGGGCTTGTTTATCTTTAGAGGGGAAGGACGTTTGCATAGGCTGCTTAAACAATTGCTGTCAAACAGCAGGAAAAGTTACCCTCTTGTTTTTGTCTCTTTCTCCCCACAGATGGGTCTAAAATTCTTGCTTGGGGCCATATGGAGTGGATAAGCCGGGAGGAAATGATACCGGCCTCTGTTTCTGCTCAACTCTCTCCACTGGGTCAGTGGACCCTTTGAAGTAGCCCTTTCTTTACCTCAGATTCTGACATGAATAACTGATCACCTTCCAGTCTACACAAGATAAGGAGCCGTGGCTCAAAACTGCAACTCTCTTAAGTATATGAGAGCCAGACCACCCAGGGCACTGTTCCAAGAAGGGAGAGAATTTCCCACATGTGTTCAGCATTTTATTCTTCCCCCAACACTTGGCTCTGTATTACTGTGTTTAAATTGGATAATGTCTACATGAAAGGGCTATGTCAATGGTATCAGTAACAAAAAAGGTAAGAGTTTGTAACAATTACGGATTTGATTTTGCTATGCAGACATCTGAGGCTCGGCAAGAGAATGCTAACTGCCTTAAATTGCCCACTGAAGGGAAATTGAGCTCCAACTGTGGTCTGTTTTCTAATTCTGTGTTCTCTGTTCTGTAACAGATGCCACCCACCTGGGGATGTCAAGAGAGAAAATATAGGGTGCTAGACAAATGGCTCTGTGGCTAAGAGCACTGGCTGCTCTTACAGACAACCAAGGTTTCGTCCCCAGCACCCACATGGGTGCTCAAAACCATCTGTAATTCCAGCTCCAGGGGATCTGGCACCCTCTCCTGGTCTCTGTTGACACTGCAAGTACACAGTGCCCATACATATATGCAAACAAACACTTTCACACATAAAATAAAAATAAGGAAAGCCAGGGTGGGTTCAGAGGGAGAATATGAATGAGAATACGACAAGTCCACTCTTGAAGGTTCTGTCTGGTGTCACTTGTGGCTCTAGACTGGCCACCAAAAATGCTCCAGGCTGCTGACTAAGAGGGCAGGTTATATTTATAACCAGAGAGAAGGAAATTAGGTGAAGAAATTGGATTGAGGTAGCCACTGTTTGATTGGTCACAGATGTGTCTGTCTTATTTGAACTTCTTGCTGGCTGCTGGTGACAGGCCAAGGCTCTGTGATTTGTTACAAGGTAGGTTCCACATCACGCTAGGCTGCAGTTGAGTATTTGTGCAGAAACCTTTGACCAAACTTAAAAATACAACCCTGTGCTGGCTAGTTTAATGTCAGCTAGACACAGGCTAGAGTCATCAGGGAGGAGGGAAGCTCCATTGAGAAGATGCCTCCATAAGATCAAGCTGTAGGCAAGCCTGTTGGACATTTTCCTAATTCATGAAGGATAGCCCAGCCCATTGTGGGTGGTGCCATCCCTGGGCTGGTGGTCCTGGGTTCTATAAGAAAACAGGCTGAGTAAGCCATGAGGAGCAAGCCAGTGAGCAGCTCCCCTCCATGGCCTCTGCATCAGCTCCTGCCCCCAGGTTCCTGCCCTGCTTGAGTTTCTATCCTGACTTCCTTCAGTGATGAACAGCAATATGGAAGTGTAAGCTGAATAAACCCTTTCCTCCCCAAGTTGCATTTGGTCATGGTGTTTCATTACAGCAATAGTAACCTGAACTAAGATACAATTCTAGGTAGCTTTAATACAAATGGCTTCAACTGGTATATCCACAGTGGAGACAAGAGCCACATTGGGTCCCTCAAAGATTTCCCAGAGGTGGTCCTGACGTGGGGCCCTTAGGAGCCTTTCTTGATCTGCTTTGCCACTCTCTCATTCTCCTGCCTCGCCTCAAAACCACTTACCTTTTTCTCTTGCTTAATGGCTGTTTATCAAGATTTTGGAGATGCTACCCAGGCTAGGGCAAAAGCCTTATTGTATCCCATATATATGCATTTTCCTTTTTAAAAATATCTGGAATTAGCTCATAACCCATTTCCATTTTTGGAGAAGACCTTAGTGAATCTTCCTGGTGGGATGTTGTATTCAGCTCCAAGTGTGTCAAGACAGGGGCTGCCACTGTTGTAGCAGCTGGGGTTACTTCCCTCCCATGGAGCCCACATCAGGGGCAGCAGGTACAAAGCCTTCATTCAAAGAAGACCTTTTGAGGTGACTAATTGAGCAAGGAGGGATTGGAGGGTCAGTCCTCAGACCCAGAAGAAATCAGGGTGTCCTGGGCCGATATGTGATTGAATAACATTGTGGAGAGAAAAGGGGAAGAGGCATGCAGAGAATTTGGAAGCTGTAGTAGCATCTTGACTTGCCAGGGAATTTGAGTTAGTGGCCACACCCCTTTGGGCTTGGCTTCAGGTGAGGACATGACCTGAAGGTAGAGAAGCCAGGGGAGGGGGTGTGTACTCTCTCTCCCTACCGTTCCCAGAATTCTCCTTGTCTCCTAGACCCGCCTATCTTCCTGCCTCTATTGGCCAAACAGTGTTTTATTCAGCAACCAATAAGAGAAATATATATACAGAAGAACATCCCCCATCAGGAAGCAAGATGAAGACTAGCTGACCACTCAGCTTCTGTGATCACCTGACACTCAAAGGTTGGTTATAAATTCCTGAGTGAGCCTTTAAGTTTGTGTACCAAGTTTGGTTGCAGTTCACATGCAGGTCTTTGCTGAGGCTTCGAAAATCCTATTCAGTTTAACTCAACACCATCAAGACCATAAAATCCTGCACACTGATTGATAACCTGCTTTTTGGAATATTACTGTGTGTACAAAGTGATAAATAGTGTATGACTCTTATGCTTTATGTGAGGTACTTAGACTTATCACAGAAAAACAGAGATTACCAGGGTCCAGCATAAAAATGGGAGTGTGGGGTGTGTGTGTGTGTGTATGCACTATGTGTGTGTATATGTATTATGTGTGAGTGTGTGTGTATGCATGTGTGTATGTGAGATGTATTATGTGTGTGTATGTATTGTGTGTGTGTGTGTGTGTGTGTGATATGTTTGTGTGTCAGAATGTACACACCAGTGTGCAAGGTGGCTGGAGGAGGCTGTCAAGTGTCCTTCTTTATCTTGCTCATTTCTTTGAGACAAGGCATGCCCCTGAAGCTGGAGTTAGGTGGTGGCTGGCCATCCCTAGCAATCCCCTGCCTTTGTGCCCTCAGTGCTGGTGTTATGTGTTCTCTGCCGTGTGTGGCTTTTCACAAGGATGCTGATGATTTGAATCAGGTCCTCATATTTGTGCAGCTAGAGTTCTTGCCTACCAAGTCATCTCTCCAGCCCTCTAAAAGCAGAGAAATTCAGCTTGGACATAAGAAAGTGTTATGGAGACGCCCAGTGGTGAATATTGCCTGCCCTCAACATGAATGTACCTCATAGCACCAAACTACACACTTGAAAGTGGTTACAATTTTTGTTCCATGTATTCTTATCACAATTTAAACAAACTTGAGTGTGTGGTAACTTCAAGGGGGCAGATAGTCCTGAAGGAGTGCTTAGAGGATCCCAGATGGTTCCCAGGGAGGACACCACTGACATAGAGCCCTACTTGTCCTGTGGAAGAGGAGACCACTCCTCACCTTGCAGTAGGTGTGAACTCCACAGTGGGCACATGGCATCAGGAGGACATATGTCTGATTTCTTCCAAAGGACCATCCATCAGATGGAGCATCTCTCCTGAGCCATTCAATGGCATAGAAAACCATGCCCATCAGGGACTACAAGGGTAACTCCTCAAGTCATGCCATCCTTCCAGAGTGAAAGAGATGTCCTATGACCATAGTTGACGACTGCCATGATTTGAATAGTATTCCTTACAGTACATGTGGTAAAGGCTTAGTCTAACAGGGTGGTACTGATGGGACATAGTACCTAATGGGATACCTGTGGGTCTTTGGGTATGTGCCCTTGAAGAGGACTGTGGTACACCATCCTCTTCCTTTATGTGGACACCATCCTCTTCCTTTATGCCTTTGACTTTGCAGTCATCAAGTAAGCAGTTGGCACCCCTAACACTGCCTGCCTTTGCTACCCAATCCTCTCATCAGAGACCCAAAGCATCATGTCTTCCAGATTTTGGACACAAGCCTCCAAAACCATGATGGAAGACTGAATAACATACCAGAGGCAACAGGACAGACACTTGCCCTTGTCATTTCTTTACTAACAGTTTTAAGACTTTGCTCACAAAGGCACCAAATTTAGTTCCAGGCTTTTCCTCTCACACAGTTCCAAGATTTTCTCATAATGACATTCCAGTCAGTGACAGGCTGCACAGACGGCGCGAGTCTAATAGAGTATAATGGAGCTGAAAAGTTCCCAGTGCTCAGGGATGTTGTAACCGTGGTAACATCAAGATGCGGTGCAGTTCTAATGTGCTTGCGTTGATGCTGGTGCAAATAAGCCTGCCCTGTGGTCCACTGTACAGAAACAGTACTTAAATGTGTGTGGTGTACATTGCCTGACAATGATAGTAAATGACTGTGCCAATGGATTATGTACTTATCATGCTATGTTTTTATTGCTATTTGAACATGTACTGCTGTGAAACATACCTGCAATGCTGGCAGCCACCTCATGTATCTGATTATCTCATCTCCAGTTGCATCCTTTTCTCTTGTACTTGACTTAAAATCATGTTGTTCCATTTATTGTAGTCCTAGGAGCAACTCTACATACCCCATGCACCACAGGTGAATAGCAGCCATGTCATCAAGGTTTACTAATTTGCATGCTGTGGTGTGTGAATGTGGTTGCTAGATTTTGTCAGCCTGACACAAACTAGAGTCCCCTGGGAAAGAGAGAAACTCAGTTGAGGAAATGCCTGTATTAGACTGGCCTATGGGTGTGTCTATGGGACAGTTTCTTGATTAATGAGGCCCAGCCCACTGTGTGAGGTGCCACCCTTAGTCATGTAGACTTGGTGTCTTAGTTTGGGTTTCTATTGCTTTGAAGAGACAGCATGACCATGGCAACTCTTGTAAAGGAAAACATCTAATTGGTGATGCTTTACAGTTTCAGAGGTTTAGTCCGCCGTCATCATGGTGGGAAACACAGTGGCGTGCAAGCAGATATGGCGCTAGAGAAGGGGCTGAGAGTTCTACATCCTGATCAGCAGGCAACAGGAAGTGAACTGTGTGCTGGAAGTAGCTTGAGCATAGGAGATCACAAAGCCCACCCCATACAGTGAGACACTTCTTCCAGCAAGACCACACCTACGCCAACAAAGTTACACCTCCTAACTGTGCCACTCCCTATGGGGGCCATTTTCTTTCAAACCACCATACCTGTGTTATATAAGAATGTAGGCTGAACAAACCATGAAGAGCAAGCCAGGAAACAATGTTCCTTCGTGGTCTCTACTTGAATTCCTGTTTCTGGGTTTCTGCTTTGGGTCCCTGTCTTTGTGTCCCTTGATGATGTACTATAACCTGTAAGCTGAAATAAACCTTGTTCCTGAAAAATTGCTTTTGGTCAAAGTTTTATCATAAGATCAGACAGCAAACTAGGACAGTGACCAGTGCTGACAATATAGCCCTCAAAACGTGTCCCTGCCATTGAGTGACACATGATTATCTACTTTTTTTTGTCAGGATCGGCTAGAATTCTGGTCAATTTTTTGTTTATCAGTTACTGCCTTTGACTCTTGATAGTCCCTTATGATGAAGTTTTCTTCTTACTGGACCATGTCTTCTAGTTGATGGGCTGGGGGTTTTCTCATCTCTTAAATGTTCAAAAATATCTGAAATTTCCCCTCATAGTTGGATAATTGGGTCAGGTAGACAATTCTAGAACAGTTGCTTCTCCACAGCGTGCCAGAAAGGAATTGTACCATTTGTACTGGAACTGTCCAAAGTTATCTTCTGGCATCTGTCTTGACTTTCATCCATACTATGTACATTCAGAAAATGATTTTATTTTTTAAAGTGTGTGTATGTGTGTGTGCTTGAGAGTGTGTGCATGCATGTGTGTGTGTGTGTGTGTGTGTGTGTGTGTGTGTGTGTGTGAGTGCATGTGTGTGTGCAAGTGAGTGAGTGTATTGTGTGTGTGTGCAAGTGAGTGAGTGGTGTGTGTGTGTGTGTGTGTGTTTGTGTGTGTGTGTGTGTGTGTGTGTGTGTATGCGCGTGCGCGCAGGTGCCCTTGGAAGTCAGAGGAGGAGGTTGGATTCCTTGCAGCTGGAGTTCCAGGTGGTTGCGGCCACTGATAAAAGGATCTTGGACCTCAGATTCTATACAAGAGCCATACATGCTCTTAACCGCTTGGACTATCTCTCCAGTCCCCTTGTTGTTTACATTTTGCTCTTACATTCCATTCTTTACCTCTTGTGCTATTTCTGGGAGATTCTGCCACTCATTATCTTTTGTCACTTGGGTTTTTGACCCTCATGTTGAGTTTTCTGTGGTAAAGGTATACATTAACGTTGCGTGCACAGACTGCTGAGAGAGCAGGCCGAGGCCGCCGCCTTTCTGTGCTCTACCCAGGCAGAGCACCATGGCTCCATTCTTC